CGTACTCTGCACGAGGGGACCTTGTCTATCATAACACGACAAGAGTTTTGTTTTCAGCCTGACGGAATAATATAGATCCTGCATCCTGCGCCAATCTCTGATAATGAGTGCTGCTCACGTCCTGGCACTCGCCTTTCTTCAATCTTGCCCTATAATATGATATAAGTTCTGGAATAGAGTATTGATCGCGTCTGAGCATGTATCCCAAGTATGATGTTCTTCGTGATTTTACGATATTTAGGAGTTCTCCCTACTCTAGCTCTTAGCAGAACTTCGTTGTTTGACATATGCTCGGTCCAAGAAGTCCGGAGCATTCTTCGGAATGTCCACATTTCAAATTCCTCGATTCGGTTTGATGTCCTCACCTTGAATGACCATGTTTCCACACAGGGTCGGTCCTACGTAGCACTTGAGAACACATAATCGAAGTTCAAACGGTGATGATTTTTGGAGAAATGTGCTTTTCATTTTTGGTAAAGTGTTTTTTGCATTTCCGATACGGGTTTTTACTTCTTCATCACAATCCCATTTCTTTTTCCCTTGCTGATGATCATCATTTTTATTTTAGTGATGTTAAGCCGCAACCTAAAGCGGTCGCCAACTTTTGTAAATCTTCAAGATTGTCTTTGTCATTAAGTCTTATTTCACGTAGTCTGCTTAATAAGGCATGTTTTACGTTATAAAATACTTTCTGGTAGTTAGGTCCTGGACATTGTACTGAAAAAGGGCTTCTTCGTAGTTCTTCCATATTTTCTGTAGCTCGTCTTCACCAGGACCAGTTTTTCGTTTTCGTCTTTGATGGGCTAAACTCATCAGGATGAAGATGATCTCCTTTATTCATTGTTGAAATATGATAAAATTCAGGAAATAAGCAATTCTAGATTCCGACAGTGGCCCAAAATATAAAAGAAGATAGAACATAGAGAACAAGAAGAGTCGACAGTGTCTGAATAACAATTGGCAATTTGACTTCTCTGGAACAATGAAACAGGAAAAAATGTAAGTGTATGCAAACATGAATTTGACAATGAACAAGAAAACAGTAAAAATAATCAAAACGCCTACATTAATAGGTATAGGAAACAACTTGAGGCCTACATAGATTCTGGAAGCTAAGGAAAGGACAACGACTAATGTATTTGGATCGGGAAAAGTAGAAATCGCAGGAGAAGCAAATGTCATCGTAACTGCTGACCCAACTAAAGCATGACATCCATTAATTTGTTTAATCTTTTTATGAAAGTTAAACGAGTCGTTTAGGCTGAGCAATCTTAGAACTTTCTCACATTTCTCACGGATCCACGTTTGTTTCGTGTTCTTTATTTTCGTCCTGATGAGCTTGTCTATATATATGTATTTTATTTCATCATTCTTGATGAGTCGTCGGTCTTCCATCGGATTCAGGATTCCATTGGTTATCCAACTTTTAAGTTTTGTTCTTGCATTACGACCAAGAATGTTTTTGGTAGCCATTTGAATATTTGACTTCAGTTTGCACCAGATGTCATTGGAAGATTTTTCCTGTTCATAGCGAATTTCTTGACAAAGTAGTTATGCTTGCATTCTACGTTGGGCCTGTGTGAAATGGATCTTTTTCAAAGTCAGCAATAGGGTTGCGGTCTGATCCGATGTCTGTTTTCGGATATGCAGCAACGCAAGTAATGCTGTTTTCAATAAACCTTCAATTTACTAGACAGTACTCAATATGGTTTCTGACAAGATTTTGTGGAGCATCAGCCGGTGATTTCCACGTATAGATACGTCTAGGATATAGCTTGAGAATGTAGTTTCAATAACAAGGTTTTCCTTCCACCAAAACTGCACTAGCATACCACCTCATTCATTTCTCTCTACCAATCCGGAAGATCCCACTATTGTATCGGTAACTTCTTTTCCTACTTTAGCATGGGCCTACTACAGGATTTAGGCTGAGAGTTTTCATGAGCTTACAGAAAAAAGGCATTAGTTTATTCCAGTCTCACGGGTGCTCATCCACAAACATCGAGATATATCGATTGATGGTCCGATTGGATATGAATAAAGTGGACTCGTTCTGGTTTACCTTATTCTCAACAACCTCATCAGTTGCTTCCGCCTCGGAGTCAAAATTCCTGCCCAAATAGGTAGCCCATATCTAGCCAAGATGTTTTCCTGTAATGCTTCAGCATCTGCATCTACTTCTTTGTTGGAAATTAGAACTACTAAAGAGGCTCCGCAATATCTACCGCGATTCTCTCTCAGGGGGAACCGGACAAGTGTTGCTTCATTTCTCCCTGAAATTTCGTATTGGGTTCTTTCTGGGAAGCACAGAGGTAACATCTCTTGCACCATTCTTCATTAGCTCGGCGACAGTTGATCCAGTAATACCGATTTCTTACTCGAGCCAACGTTTTCGTATGTCCACTTATGGTCAGTGGCACAATGGTCTAATATACTAGAATTCTTTCATCGAGACTCTCCCATTGAACAGTTCCTATTCCACTTTGCGAATCGTCGGTGTATTAGACACAAGTATTAGTCCCTCATCTATAAGTTACGCTAAAAACTGAAGCATCGGTCAATCTGCTTTCCAGCTCCACAGAAGAGCATTGATATTCTCATATCCAATCAAAGTAACCGTTCTTCTCAGTAAGTTGGTATTATGAATTCGCAATTTTCTACTTGACAAACCGGCGGTAATAACTGCAGAGTCCAGGAAACTTCTGGCTTCATGTTTATTTTTTGGACTGAGCCCAATCTCAGACCGCCTGGACTTTTTCTGGGGCCGACACTATTCACTTTGAAGATACGAGATACCTATATGAGAAGGTTTATTCTTTCCTGGAACAGAAAACACTTAAATTCAAATTAAAACTTCCAATCCTGGCAAAATTTGACGGTGTTCGTCTATCTTTGTCAATCCCCATGGCATCATTTAAGCAAAACTAACTCCATCTGCCTTTCAAAAGTGGCAGGTGAATTGTCCAATCCGAATGGCATGACGTTACAGTGATACAGGTCGTTTTCAACCGGCGGTATTCTCTTTATCTTCTCTATTGAGTTCCACCCGCCAATGTAAACTTTTTGAGTCTGGAGTAGAAAAGTGGAGCCATACTTTTTGGTTACTAGTACGACCGGACATAACCATGACTATTTTTCTATGGCCTCATCTTCCAGCATTTCTTGAAGCTTGCGATGTTGCTTAGCAATAGAAAATATTCGTGGTGGTTGACAAATAGCTATGACACTTCCGGTGTTGATAGGATGTTCTACTATTGGTTTGTCTGGTTATTTTAGCTGACACAAAGACATCAGCTTCTTCTTCCACAAATGCAATGGCTTTCTTCGTTTCTTGCTTGCCTTAATGATGAGCTCTTTTTGTTATTCTTCAAAAAGGTCTAGATATTATCTATAAGTTGTCCATTTGACACAGGCACTTTCTTTGCGCATCTCACTACCGATGACCTTCCCTTTCTTCAATGTCACTCGGTTCGAACATTATGTCGCAAGGGTTTCATTATGCCTGTTTCCCAATACCATGGTGTTAACGCCTTTCAGCTCCCTCTCCAGGTGAGCCTTCACCAAAAGTTCGCATATCTTCGTTCACTATGACTTCAACTTGACAATCCTTATTTGACCGTAACGAAAATGTTTCTTCATTGCCCATTCTCAGCCCTTTACTATTGAAGTCCACAGAAAGGATTGAACATCCACACCCAAAGAGAACTTATTTACAATGTCAGTAGTTCTCACTTCTAGATTTATTTCGGTGGTGCTTATCTCCAATTCTTTGATCGTAATTCGTATCTCTATGGTTACCTACTTCTCAGGTTTAGTTCGTCGGTTATTGGAGCATTCAAAATAAGAGATATCTCGTCCTATCGACGTCTCGCATCACCAATGACGATATAATATTCCCAAGAACATCTATTAAATCTCCTTTAGCTGATTCTACAAGCGTTCGAGATCTGCACAGTGTTTTTGGAAACTTTGTCCAAACCACTGATCTTGACGCCCCTGTGTTGATTTTCAAATCCTATTCTGTGCCGCTGAGGGTGCCTTGGGTGACTTAGAGTAACCTCTCTTATATTATGTGAAAAAAACAGCCTATAGGCTATGCAGACAAAAATATTTAAACCTGGTGATCTGAATGGCCAGTTACGCATTCTTCAATCTATAGTGCCAAAGTAAACCAACAGAACAGATCATATGGAATAGTTCTAAAGGAACGCCAATCATGGAAGAACGCGAAGCTACCGCAACCGGACAATGCATCATTGTGGTACACAGATGGTTCAAAGCTAACGGAAGGAGTCTGTCTGGAAATAACTGGACCAAACTTCAAACTCTCCTTAGCAATGAGCAAAACGCCCACAATATTTTAAGCTGAGGTACTGACCATAAAAATTTGTGCCCAAGAGTGTCTTAAAAGAGGCCTGTTAAGAGAGCACATTTACATACTGTCCGACAGTCAACCGGCTCAATAGGCTGTAGGATCTATCAAGTGCAATTCTCAGTTAGTTTAGGAGGGTGAAAATATCCTCAAGCAGCTGGCTGGCAGGAAAAAAGTAACCCTGATGTGCGTGCCAGGACATAGAGAGCTTCGAGGAGGCTGACCGTCCCGCAAAAAGGAGCTTTAACACCTTTTCAAGGCCCAGTGGACTACTGAAAAGCCACGTCTCCCAAAAAATGATTAAATGGGAAAAGGACCTAATGCATTGGAGATCCATTCCAGGTCTGAGACGGCCAAAAAGTTTCATATCCTATCCATCTCAGCAAAGAGATCTGAACAACTTTTTGATAAACAGAAGACATTAGACCTTGACGGGGTACAGCTAACACCCCAAGAGGTGGGCACTTGACCACTCAGGAGAAGCCCACAAATCTTGGACACCAACTATTTAGAAGCAGAGTCACGCACAGTGCTTGAGCGGCTGGAACAAGCTGTAACGACTCCCAATACAATCTACAATCTACCTAAATCCTCTCTTATTAAAGCTACAGAGAGAAATTTCGCTTACCTTTAATACTTTTTGTGGCGTTACGGGCATTTCCCGACAGAACTTGTGCAAAGCCTGGTCAATGCCATTTTTCTGGATCTCGGCAGACCATTCGGACGTGTTGGCTGACGTGTGCTTATGGAAGAGCAGCAAAATGGCCATTGCTGACCTGTAAAGAACCTGTCAAAATCAAGAATATTAGAAAACAGGAGTTAACAAGGAGTAAAAAAACATGCCTTTAAAAAATAAAATTGTATTACTTGAAAGCATTTTCTTAAATATTTGATCAAAGGTGTTTCGCCTGAATTCGTGTGACGTCATAAATACATCTCTGAAAAATATTGTTTTGGTCGAGAAAATAGATTATAACATTTACCTACTACAAAAAGTGAAAGTAGCAAGGCACTATTGTTCCCAACTCCGGGTGTTTGACAAGTAAGGTTACAAACTTCACCAGGTCAATTTTATGCCTGAAGAATAATTTATCTACAATGAAATTATTGGAGTTACTGTATTTTTTATGATCTCTCCAGCTGTTTATTTTCCCATTTAGAAACCTAAAATTAAACTAAAAAAATTCCCAAGACTGTAACTCGCTTCAAATTCAAGCAACTCGAAATTCATTGTATTCCTTACTAGATATCAGATGAAAAAGGCCTATGAGAAAAAAATTTACAATCGTATAGACCAATTGCGAATATAGGTAGGTAGGTATTTCATTTATGACAGCTTTTAAACAAAGCAATAGATAAATCAATATCGAATGACAGAAGGCAATGTACGCCAATGATCCGACCTCATGAGCCAGACCAAAAATATCCAGGCATTTATTGTAAATTAATTGAAGGCGGAATCCTTAAAATAAATTTCGAATATAAACAAGACGCCGACAGAAAAATAAACTTGGATGTTTGCGGGGCCACTTTAAAAAGCTTCTGTTGCCGAAAGTATCCGTGTCTGGAATACACAGAAGCGAAAACTGGATTAACATGGGGAAGAGTCAATCAATTCCTTGAAAACTTCTCGCTCCCAATTGTCATCTAATTATATGTATACGCTGATATTAAAAAAATGTTATGAGAAACTTGATTTTTCAACATTTTTTTTTTTTTTTTGTATTCGGTAGAAACTGACATTTTTGTTAACACAAATATTCTATTCCTATTACATTTAAAATCTAACATTGTACAAAAGCAACCAAAGTTCTAAATACAGTAGTTATTATCACCCCTTGGATTAATAACATATTTCAGCATTTGTCCCTTCTTTATCTTTTGTTCAACTAACCCAAACCACTAAAACTACTAAGAAGGAAACATTGTTAAAATCAGAAGTTATAAATTCATCTACAGAATAAATTTCAATACCACAAGTATTTGTCTCCATTCAACTTTCAAATTGTTTTAGTAGTAACTTCCTCATATTTGCATGAAGCATATTATGGCAAAAATTATAACAATGCCTTTCGAGAAAACAACGAATCAAGAATTTTCGAAACCTACACCAATGTCCGGCTACACTGAAGCCAATGCACAAAATCAACAATATGTATGTCAAAATCAGTACAGACGAAATAACTATTTCAAACCTAACCCAAATGTAGATCCTTCAAAACATTCAATCGAAGAGATTGATAATATCTTTGAAATAGAATTACCTGACCCTGAGGAAAATTTCGTAAATGAGGAAAATTCAGAACAATATCAAAATTATAAAGGGACAAATATTGAGGAAACTGAAGACGAAAATTTTCAGTTACTGGATATAATGATAAGTCATTGGATGTAATGAATCAACATTAGCTTTGAATGCTTATCAAATAAACCAACTACCTTTCATGCCAATAGACTATCCACCGTGTAAATTATTAATTGAAACAGGAAGTCATACCTCTTCAAAAAGCCCCTCAATCGCAGAACAATATTGCTCAAATTCTATAATTAATTCCCAGAACAAGTTAACTACTTGTATGGGTACGAGAAAATCCCAGGGAAAAATAAGTTTTTTAAATTTTACAAGAACATAATATCGAAAATCACATTAAAATGTATAACTTCCATGGAATCAAAGCGTTGTAAAAGAATAATTTAATTATAGATTTTTCTAATTTGCTCCTTTCTAATAATGAAATAATTCCATTTGAATATAGAGTAAATTGGAACTTCGAGATTCCAAGCCACTGGATCCATGTATGTTATTTTAATATCAACCAAGCTGACGGTGTTGAAATTCTAACTCCTTTAATAAACAATAGATTATATTTCTTCGACAATAACAACACTCATACATGAACGTTACCTTTAGAAATACACAACTGAATAAATCAGCCTATTATGCTCTCGTATAATATTAATTACTTGGCAGATATAAGTTTTTCTAATGATGATGAAAACTTTGAGATATTTAATATAGAACAAAAATGACCTCTTCGTAAAACGATGAATATGCAAAAGACTCGATGAAATCATTGCGAACTGATAATTTAAATTTAGATGCTTTGACATTCGTTACGTTATTTAAGCTTTTATTAAAATCTTCTATGAATCAAATTATGAAAATTTAGACAACTGAAGAAATACCGGTACACACAAAACGTAGAGATATCCACATGTGCATAAACAAGAAGTAAATTCTCCAATAAAGAAAATGGCAGAAGTTAACATAATCGGATTATCTTGTAGTCCCTGGTCATCCCCTGTATGGATTGTGCCTACCTGAAAAAGAAGATTGCGCAGGCATGAAAACATGAAGAATGGTCGAATATTCCTGAAAGAAATAATCGATGATCGATATCCATTACCTAAGATTACATAAGGCTGACTTGGTCGTAGTGATTATTTTACAACCCCAGATTTAGGCTCTGGCTATGGAAATTCGATACCAAAAACAGCATTTGATGTTGCAAATGAACATTATATACCAATTTAATAGAACGCCCTTTGGATTAAAGAACACATCAACCATCGACCTTCCAAAGAAGAGTAATGGACAATTTATTACTACGATTACAGAAAAGAATATGTCTAGTATACCTGAACGTTGCAATAGTTTTTTCCACTTCTCTTCAAGAACACGTGGACGATTTAAATTGAGAAAATAGAATCGGATAAATCAGAGTTTTTACATAGGATAGGTGCATTATCAGGACTAACAATATATAATTACGAATCTTTGTACGTAGTACATACATTAAACAAAATTGAGTTTCATTATACAACTCCAAGAAACGCAAAAACAGTCCGATTAAAAGATTCCATTCAATGCTATGTGGAAATATAACGAGTTTAAAACTCCAAAACCCAAATAAACGTATTAGCGATCTAATGACAATCGTTATATTGAATTATATAACAACAGTACTCCTAGTACAATGCCAACAAAGGGAAAATAAATCAACAGGTTGAGTGCCACCGCCCACCGTCCAGTATACTGGACAGAAGGGTTTCTTGTCATCGAGCCCTGGCAAACTTAACACTACTAAGTAGAATCTTAAAAGGCTCTTAAAAATGTGGGATATGGAATTAATTATTTTCCAAGAAGCGGGCCACAACAGAAGTTTAAAATTTCAGTTTCTGCTCAATTTGGCCATTTTTATGTTTAGTATTTACTGGAATATCCTCGCGTAGTATACTGGATATGGTCGTCTAGTTAAGTAGACTGGTGGGATATTATAGTTACGATCATTAAGGCCCGAATTCACCAAAAACGGTGAAATCGCTGTTTTCGAAAACGTCGTTTATTGTGAACGACGTAAATTAAAACGCAGTTTTGTTCTGCGGTATTCACCAATATGTGTAATGTGTGTGTGTGTAGCTGCAGTTTAACGAAACGGTGTTTAGGTGAATACACAGTTTGGCAACAGCGGAAATAGCAAGAAATAGAAAAAAAAGACGAGTAAATTCAAGTTATTCCGTCAATTTTCACTCAAAATTTATTCTTGCTGGTGTTGTGACAAGATAATTTGTATTGTTATTGTTAATTATCCTAAAGTAAAGCATAAAAAATGACTCAACAAAAATTTGGCTCATCCAGGACTAGGGTGACTAGGGCTACCGAAAAAAAGAATGATGAGAATAGAAATATTTTAGCCCCTGGAAAGAATATTGCTTGTGGAAGCAATTGCAGGATTCATTGCCGAAATTAGTATTTTCCATGACACAAAAAAAAACGGAACAGGAGACGATGCACTACGCATTACCTACCAAAATATTTTCATTTTCTGTCACGAATTACGGTAAAACGTCGTTTTAATCCATAAACGCCCGATGAACAGCCGCTTTGCTCCTGACAGTAGGTTAAGGAACAAACTACGGATTTAGGCATATGGTGAATTCCATTTGTAGCCGAAACTGCGTTCAAGATCTTAAAACAGAGTTTTACACATTGGTGAATTCGGGCCTAAAATATTCCGACGTCCAGTAAAATGGACATTCACTTACAGCTGTTAACTTGACAGATATCTTACATTGGATGTCTAAACAATATAATTAAAATCCGTAAGGAATTTGACTTTATTCAAGAAAAATTATTAGCGAAACAAACGAAGTCTTCAGAGCTACGCAATAATAATCGCGAACCTGAACCAGATTTACAAAAACCTATCTTTGTGAAACAATAAACAATTTATTAGAGACCGAATTAGAGACATAAGACATGATGCGTTATGATAGTAAAGCGGCGTTTCCACATGCATAGTTTATTGGCGCTAGTCGATTGGCGTAACTTTTCTGGCACGTGGAAATGCAGAAAATTAACTGGCACCAGTTAACCGTCGCCACTTTTTCATGCGCCAGTAAAGTAGAATGGAGGTCTACTTTTTGGCGCCAGTTTGCCATGTGTGACAGTTTGTCAAAAAAAATACAAACGTTTTCACTAGTGGTTCCCAAAAAATTGAACATATTAAGTTTATGGAAGAGCATCCCTGTTTGTGGAATCACAAACTTTTGTGCTACAATGACAGGAAAAACCGCATGATGCTATAAGGATAAGTGTTGGCGTATTGTGCGGGTTTTCGCGTTCTTAAGTGGCTTTGATATCACTGCTGCTAAAAGCAAAATAAGAAGCTTTGGAAATTCTTCATGGTCTTCATCCGCTAACTCAGACAGTAAATTATTTGATGCTCCTAGAGCTTTTCTGCGTGAAATCCATCTTGTGTTTATGTCTCTTCTTCTTGTTTTTTC